TGGGTTCCCCCCCCCCCCCGTCATTCTCTGATGAGTACACATGCCCAGTAGCAAATTTAATAATAGTAATAATAATAATTTAAATAAATCTTTGTTTTTGAATGAATTATTTATTGATTAGGTTTTTGCCATAGGGCGTATATATTTGCCAGAGAGAGAAGGAGAGGGGGAAAGTGAGAAATCACCCCCTAGATGGTCACTCTGCAGTCCTTTCTCCTCCACTCATTCCTTGGGATTTTGGGCACGCACCCAGCGTGATTCTTTGGCTGCCAGATTCAGGACTAGAACTGTTGTCGGTCTTGTGGGTATTCAGTGTATTCTATTTATTTTATTCAGAGAGAGAGAGCACGCACGCAAGAGAGGCACTCCAGCAGGTTCTTTACACTGCAGCCCATCCCAGGCTCATCCAGCTGGGATCACAGGCACATGTGCATGTGTCTGGGGCATACAAAGAGATATTGGGACAGAAACCTAGGACCTCGCCATGTGGTCCCAGCATCTGAGAGTATTGTAGCACCCCTGTATCACCACAGCTGACCCAGCTCACATTTTTAAAGCTGAGTTAATTTTTAAGTGGAGTCCTTTTTTGAATGATGATATATGTATGTAATGAAAATCCAAAAATTACAAAAGGAATAGAGAGAAAAGATGAGTCTCTCTTCCTCATTGTCTTCAGGCCACCAGACTTCCTCCCATAACGCAGCCATGATCACTGGCTCTTGGCACCTTCCAGAGGTGGCCTGTGCATTTGTCTAAAAGCATATGTTCCTGCATCAAGCTAACATTTTGCATTTTTTTGTCCCTAGTTTAGATCTTAGCCATGGTTCCTTCTGGATATATAGAGGACAGCTTCAGTCTTCTTTTAATTGTTTTTTAAGAATTATTTATTTAATTTTACTTATTGTTATTATTGTTTTTTAAATTTGACCAGAGAGAAAGAGCAGGAAAATGAGAAAACAAGCTGCCAGGTGTGGGACTTGAACCATGGTTGGCCATGTGGAAATCCAGCGCCTTAACTGCTATACCACCTGCTGCCCCTGCTTCAGTCTTTTTAAAAAATTTTTAATATTTTATTTTATTTTAGTTAGTTAGTTATTTTAATTTGACCAGAGAGGAACGGAGAGAGAGAGAGAGAGAGAGCGAGCAAGCTGCAGGTCCAGGACTCAAACTGGGATTAGCCACTTGGGAATCTAGCGCCCTTAACTACCACATCACCTGCTTGGCCCTACTGCGTCAGTCTTCTTTTTTTTTTTTTTTTTTTAAAGATTTATTTATTTATTCATTCATTCATTTTAAATTTTTTTTTTTTTTTGAGAGATTTTCACTGTAGGGCGCGTGCGCTCGCCAGACAGACAGAGAGAGACATAGAGACAGAAAGCGAGAAATCACCCCCCAGGGGGGATGGTCACGCCGCAATCCCTTCTCCTCCATTCTCCTCTCGAGATCTTGGGCACGCACGCACACGCGCCCGGCGTGAGTTTTAAGCCACCGGGTCCAGGACACGAACTGCGGTCGACTACATGGGAGTCCAGCAACATAGCCATTACGCTAACTGCTGGTCCCCATTCATTTTAAATTTGACCAGAGAGAGACACAGAGAGAGAGAGAGGAAAGTGAGAAAGCAAGCCACCAAGTCCAGGACTTGAACCATGGTCGGCCATGTGGGAGTGTCCGGCGCGTTAACCACTACGCCACCTGCTGGTCCCGCGTCAGCCTTCTTAAATGGCTACAAAATATTCTATTCTGATAGAAGTACCACAGTTCACTCAGTCACTGAATATTTATGTTACTCCTAGTTTTTTTTGAAGTTAGTTCTCAGGACACTTCCCATTCATAACCTAGACTGCCTGTAATGAAAATATTCTATGCAAAAATATGTCATGACTTTTCTGATTACCCAATAGATTCTTTCATTTCCTTATACAAAAAAGAAGCGGAAATTCAAAGGAATTTTCCTGCAATGAAACCTCACTTTGATGTATCTTTTTGGAAAACTGGAATTATTTAGGGAGCTATTTAGTTTTTTTTTAAGATTATGAATATTATGAAATGACTTCAAAATATTTAGTTGAGACTACAAACATTTAAAATAAGTATTAAAGACCTAACATAAATAGGCTGATTTAGGCTTGGGCTAACCATGTCTGACTTTGTCTTAATGTGTTCCTGTTTTGCATTTTTTACCATAAAATCACTTACCTTTCCATACCTTAACATTATGAGTTACAAATTTTTAAATACCCAAATCTTTAATGGTAAGGCAGTAGAAAGTGTTTTCTCAAAAGTTACTATTAACGTCAGTTTTCATCATTTTTCCCTTTAAGAACATCTGAACACAAGGACCTATATTTTTTAGTGACATATTGTTACACTGTAAGTTATTTATTAAAGATCTTTCCTGAGTGTGTTAATTTTGTGTCCTAGAATAGCTTGTGTGAGTGCCCCCAGTGTTTACCAGAAGCTCAGAGAACTGCACAGAGAAGACTTTACGGTATACATCTTCGAATATGACAAACGATTTGCAATGTATGGAGAAGAGTTTATTTTCTATGACTACAATAATCCATTGGATTTACCAGACAAAGTTGTTGCACATAGTTTTGACATCGTAATAGCAGATCCTCCATATCTTTCTGAAGAATGTCTCAGAAAAACATCAGAAACCATCAAGTACCTGACTCGGGGCAAGATTCTGCTATGTACAGGTAGGTGCCATGGTGGGGGGCAGCTGGTGGTGTGGTGGTTAAGGATCCCACATGGCTAACTATGTAGTTTGAGTCCTGGATCTGGTGGTTTAAAAAATATGGCAGGCACGTGTGCATGCATGCCCAAAATCCCAAGAGGAAAATGGAGAAGAGATTGCTGCATGTCTATTCCCCTTGTGGGGGGTAATTTCTCACTTTCTCTGCCTCTCTCTCTCTGTCTCCTACAAGTGAACAGGTGGGTGTCCTGCTTCATGTCTCACCAATGCTGATGATAGCAGGTGTTCAAGTTCTAGGTGTCAAGAGTTGCAAGGGATCTTAGAACTCAAGTCCTGAATCCTCCACTTACTCCGTGAACTTAAACAAGTTATTTAACCTCTCTGTGTCTTCATTTCCTTATCTGTGAACTAGGATTGATAGGACCACCTATGATAAGAGTTTTTAAGAATTAAGTGACACAGTATACAGAAAGTGCTTCACGTCAGGTCTGGCAGGTAGTGAATGCCAGTTGGATGTTAGTCATTATTTTTACTTACCATAATTGTCATGGTGGTAGCAGTAGTGTTCTAGCCTCTATACCTGAAAAAAGAGAACTTTGGAATCTATAGAGTTAAAGTGGTTACCTAAGTTACAAAGCTAGATATTAGCTTAGGTAAGCTCTTTCTTACTGGTGAGATTGCTGTACTGACTTATGGTGGGCATAATAAAATTTGACATCATGAAGTTTGGAACTGACGTGTTCCCTGTCTCTGTCTCTGGCAACCCCAGGGCCCTGACCTTGGTGTTGTCTCCATCCTACACCACAGTCCCGCAGGGCCACTCTCTCTGGAGCTGCAGGGATTCTGTTCTTCGGTGTAGTCAAATGAGTTGATTTGGTTTGGTCAGTAGTGCCACTTTTTTTTTTTTTTTTGGAGGGGGTTTTGCTATAAGGCGCGTGCACTCACCAGACAGACAGAGACAGAGAGACAGAAAGCAAGAAATCACCCCCCAGGGGGATGGCCAGGTCGCAATCCCTTCTCCCATTTTCCTCCTGGGATCTTGGGCACGCACGCACACGCGCCCAGCATGAGTTTTAAGCCACCGGGTCCGGGACACGAACCGCGGTCAACTACCTGAGAGTCCAGCGACATAGCCATTACGCTAACTGCTGGTCCCAGTAGTGCCACTTTTCACAAAGATAATTTTGCCTAACGTTTATTAATTCAGCCACCATTTGCTAACCCTTGTGGTCACTCACAGGCAGTGTATGTGTACACACACACACATATAAGTGGGAAAATATATTTTGAATCATGAGAAGAATCATGACAAATTGTTTTAGGTTTATTTATTTATTTTTGAGAGGTTTTTGCTATAGGGCACATGCACTCTCCAGAAAGACAGAGAGAGAGAGACAGAAACAGAAACAGAAAATGAGAAATCACCCCCCCCCCCCACAGCCAATAT